TCGGATAATGAGTCACGTGAGAAATTCCGTGAATCTGAATAGTGTAGAAAGTAGAAAAACGTATTAAGATAAACAGAAGCTACCGAACGCATGCTTCAGTTATTGTCTTAGGTACACTATTTGGAACTATGTCTAAATCCTTCATCTCTAGCCTTTCTGATTATTTACAACAACGTTTTTTGCGGTAATCTTTTCAGTGTTGGTGGTCTATATTTCACTAAGTGCCCATTCGGTTGCATTCTTTCCTCGCGTCTAATATCATCTGTCTCAAATAAATAGAATACAAAATTATACAGATTATTACTTGTTCATTCCTTTTGGGCTGAACGCATACGGCCCATTTCAGCAGAAATAAACGTGAATCATCCGTTTGAACTCCTTTCTCTTCGATCTAATCAGCGAACATATTAGCGCTGAATTCGCCAAATTATTCATACATTGCTCAGATATATACAGGTGTTGAGCAAACTCGTGTAACATCACTCTTATTTGGGGAAAACATTCCAGATTGTAATATCATACCTATATATTGATGGCTATGGGTAAAGTGCATTTATTCCTGACTTTATCTCCCACTTCTATGTTCTTAGTTGTCTTCTATTACCGTTTGAATTTGCGCGACCTGGAGTATCGTGATAAAGGGCGTAAGTGGATACCATATCAGGTATGTTGCGTCTGATGTGGGGCAATATCATATTCAATCCCGTGAATGAGGCTCGAAACACTAAGCGTTGCGAGGAACAAATGCGATGAAAGTCATGGTATTGCACGAGTTTAGTCAATACCTGTATTTATCGGTTGATGTCTTGTGGACGACATGACATATAAGGAAAATATCCGTTTACTCGAATCCCGTGGATGGGCCCAGCGAAATTTTTGATTTACGCATTTGAGCAGCGCTCCCTAGTTGCATAGTTAGACATTTCACCCCGAAAGATAATGCATCAGCTGTTATGCGGAAAATACTACAATGTTTTCAGTTTCTGCACAAGATCTCTCTGATGCAAAATAATTCTTAAATCGGGATAACTTATCATCACTGTACGGTGAACTTCACTGATCGCTGCCAAGCTCACGATGTACACAAAGTTGATGGGAATGTACAATTTGGACAGGGATGGGGTCTAATGGGAGGCAAAGAAACTAACCTTGATCAGTATACAGACTACCTAGCCTCACTGTGCATACATACATTTTCAAGCATTCTGATCTGATAAGAAGGGAATACAAGACGGCCACCACTGTCGGTTAGTTGCCACGTCCTTCAGTGTCTCCAACCAGTTAAGGAGTCGTTTGAACCCCAGCCTGGAGGACGGGGGACATCTACTCTGCCCAGTCGCTCCGTGCATTTTTTCATGCCTCGTCTTCACGTCACTTGTTGAACTCAACAAGACTTCTTCCAACCTGATTGCAAAGAACGCGCGGTGAAGTAGACGACAGCTGAGTGCATGCAATAGGTGCCATAATCAGCGAAGCTGACTAATGTGAATTCGATGTGATAAAATGTTCTCAACCGAAAAATTACCAAATAATCACCGAATTACCACGGTGTTGTGAAAATGTTCGCATCATCCAATCCCCGGTAATTAAGTAAACATCGACAGTCGAAGACAAAATAATCGTTGTTATTCCTGTTATCTACTGTTATCCATTGTTACTATTTAACCTTCATTTCACTCTGCCCTTTATCCCAATACACCCATCCCCTGCTAGTGTTATTATTTTTGTGGCGTTGGCATCATGTTAGCCTCTGATTTGTAATTCATATGACTAGGTTAGTGCCGAAATTCACCTGTACGTACGACCAGTGTCACACTATTTCAGTTGTTTCCGATACACGCCGAATAATTACGATAACGCCCTCAGGTAGGAAAATATATGACGGACGAATAATTAATACAGGAGTTCCCTGGATAAAAATTTGAGCGAAATCAGAGTGCTCGAGGTATGTGCGACTAGCGATGGCTTTAACCACGGAAGTAGAAGTATCTATCGATTGCGAGATACATTCTATGGTATGAATCTTGCTACTCACTACATGGTTCAGTAGTGAAAACGATTAAGCGGGATGGTTCCACATCCACCAGGACATCTAATACCAATATAAAATAACCTTTAAGATGGTTCGAGTCCTGACAGGGACAAAGATTATGCATCGCTGACGAGTCCCAAACACGCTAAAACAGCTGTCCAGTGCCCTTTGTCGGTCATCACAAAGATTTCTATTGTATGTAAAATCCTTTACATATCCGTATTTATTTCTAGAAATGTAAACGATAATATGTTGTACACGGTCTCCGATAATTTAAAAATCCACCCAAAATAGCATCGGTTTGTATAATGGGCATACCATTCGAGTTGGAATTTCGACATCGTCAGCTTATCTAGGCAACAGCTAGATGACCGTCTGAAAGTAACCCATTTCAACGCCATGGGTATTGTTGCCGCGCTGCTCTCGGACAGTCGAAGTGAAGTTGGGTTTCATCGTCTTAAAACTGTTTTAAACAGAGCAACATAACTGACGGAGATAACACACACAGTTAACGGAAGAAACACAGCGTCCACATATCCTCCCAACTTAATTCTTTATGTATCAGTAACAAAAGGCGGAGTAAACCTAGGTAACCTAACGGCAAGGAGAAAAGGGGGGAATGTTTTCTGTTACATGACTTCCTATTAATTCCAATAAATAGAGTCCTTGTTGTTCATTCAATAAGTTAAACCCTGACAAATCTCTGGTTCACCAAGTTGGATATAACAAGTGAGTCATCCCAATGTGTTATTCCACGATCATGTTTGTATTACTTGTGAGTAGTATAACTATTTTTCGCTCTGTCAAGCCCATTAAAGGCCGTCCCGAAAACTGAATCCATCGGAACTAATGACGAACGATCTAACCCAATCCAGCGACCTGAATTTAACAATCACAGGTGGATGAAAGCTATCCAATACCAACCTCAAGTTTTATCAAAATTGAAGGCGATTTGGNTAACGACTGTTTTATTGGGACACCAGTTTTGAACGCAGACAGACGAGAAACAATAGACAAAAACAATTAGGTTTTCGGTAGGAACAGTGAAGTTGGCTTAGCTGCTACTCGCTTCCCAAACAGGCTATCCCCTGATGATGATGGGGTGTTTGCTCCGGTTCCAAATAACACGTTGGATGTACCTCCAGTAGCCGTTGTCCCCTGGAAGAGTGAGGAAAACGGTGAGGCCGCGGCAGTGCTAGTGGTTGGTTGTGCAGTCAGACCAAAAGGACTGGTGCCAACACCTGGGGTTGCGTTCGAGGTGGCTAAACCAAAGCCAAATGCTGGTTTCTGAGCCGATGAAGTGTTCAAACCCAGGCCGAGACTAGGAAGGGTGCCGGAAACAGTAGATGTCGTAGTGGTGGCTCCGAGAGAGTTCAGTTGAAACGGTCCAGATAATGCCGACGGTTGTGTTGCAGCTAGGAAGGACATGGGAGATGTCAAAATAGGAGACCGTATATTTTAGAAGCTACTAGATACAAAAACGCATAACTTTAAAATGAAGTATCTTATAGACTACATGCGTCTAGATTAACTTTTACTCTATTCCTGCAATGACCAAATTCTAGCAGAAAGTGAGTGGTGTTTAGCTTTTGGAGGAGAAACAGATGAGAAACAACTGATGCGTTCTCCAGAGAGATTTAATTAGCGTTCGAGTAAAAGCATTATACAAATCAGAGACCACGTATTGCTGAATAGATCACACCGCGATTTCATCCAGTTTTCAAGTAGAAACGGATAGTTTAGTACATAGATATTAGTGGGTAAAAGATTCAACAGTCTGATTCAGATAAAGTAAACCAATTAGTCATTACATCTTGGGAAAGCAAAAACGTCTTACTTGCACATTTGATATAACTAAGTAATTATCCGGGCTTGGAACAAGAGAAGTTGAATCGCATAACGGGTACTTGATGGCAGCAGCTCCTCGGCAGATAACCTGTAATGCTCCTGGAGAAACTACACCTTTTTGACGTAAATGATTTGTCCGACTACCGCCTGTGGCTCAAGGCAAACGGTTCAATAGGCAAGCTACACCAAGTTGGAGGTAACTGGGGCCCAAAACCTTATATGAGATGCGCACGACAAATGAAGATCACTGCTTGCCACTGAAAGCCTCATTGTGGCTCGGGAGTGTTGAGCAAGACCTACTCACTACCTTCCCGTGGCGGAGCTGTTCGCATACCAAAGTGAGGGAACGAGAAGTCAATGTTCGGGGCTATAACCGGGCCGATGAAGCACCGGCAGTTCACCTAGGGGAGATGGCTAAAAACCCTGACTACAAACCAACCAATGATTATATATATATATATATATATATATATATATAATCCTCAGCGGGTGGAAGACATTTATTGCAGCAACGGCATCACCGTACGGCGAAATACAGCGAAGTGCAGTTCATTGATCAATGCCAACGACTAAAAAAGAAAAGTATCCAACTAACAGAGAGCCTTGGAAATGCGGGCGGTTATCTCCTTGGATGAGCTACCGTCATTCGTCAAGCAGCTACTCAAATACGAGAAACAATTAACTTCGGCTAATTCTTGACCGTCTAATTTGAGAACGCAACTCGGTGACACCCAGCCTTGCAGCATCACTTTGCACTTTGAAGGTGTAAAGGGCATGCCGAACGGAGCAACAGAACTTGTAATTCTGTCAAGTGCGTTTTGTGCATCCTCCATAGATTCGAACAGGCAAACGATGTCATCAGCGCAATCCAAATCACACAGCTTTTCTCCAGCTGACCATTCAATACCTACGTTTTGGACACCACTTAGCGAGTTCTCCAGTATGGCGAAATTGAGCAGGTATGGCGGAATAGGACATGCTTGGCGAACACCACTGCTAGCTACGAACGGCCTACTCAGCTCGCTGTAGACCCTTACGTTACCAGGAGTATGTGAGCACAGTGAACTCAGTATGTTTACATACTTCTCCGGCATTCCTTTGCAAAGGAGCGAACCCATACGCGGTTCGCGGTCAAGTGAGTCAAAGGCTTCTTCTAGGTCAAGGAACACGACAACCGTTGGTCGACGGTGTGTATGTCGTAGCTCGAGGACTTGACGCAACGTGAGGATCTGATCGATAAAACCACGACCTAGTCGAAATTCTGCTTATTTTTCGAGGATATCCGTCTCCCTAAACGGTGTCAGATGTCGAAGTATGACGGAGGCTAATAACTTGGTGTCGATTGGGATTAAACTTATTCCTCGGTGGTTTGCGCAGTCGTTGCGAGATCCCTTCTTAAAAATGGGAACAATCAGTGATTCTCCCCCGGATGACGGAATGCCCTCTTGTGACCGATTGTTACGCAATAAATCATTAATGGAGTCTGCGAGGTCATCACTCCCCCCCATCTTGAAAAGAGTGAGCGGAAGACCATCGAATCCTATTGCCTTTCCTTTGTTCAGGGTTTGGATGCAAGATCGCACTTCTGCTTCAGTAGGAGGTTCACAGGACACTGCCCACGGAGGATCAACTGCAACAGACGATCTAGTCTGGTTAGCGCCCGGCCAGCTGAACTGTTCGTTGAAGCTCACAACCCACCCGTCAAGCCGTTGTTCCCTATTGAGTAGCGCGTCCACTTTTGTCGCAGACTGTTTCACTAACTGTGGTTCGCCGACCTTCCATGTTGCGTATCAGTTGGAACAGTCCTTCACTATTCCCTGATGCAGCTGCTACTTTCATTTCACTAGCTATTGTTAGCCACTAGTTCTCACGGTCTTTCTTTAGGCACTTCGTGAGCTGACGTTGCAGACGCCAACTACCTCTANCCTCTACTTTGATCCCGGGCGGTCGTGATTTGTCACTTTTTCTCCACCAGTGATACTGATTTGTCAGATATCTAATGACTCGGACAGGCTACCGCTTCGGATCCACAAGCAACCCTCTCCGTGGAATGCATTGCTCGTCTAATCTGATCCCATTATTCATTTACATTCCAAAGTTGCAGCTCGTTTAGCTCTTGTCCTAGTTCTGATTCAAAACGAGCACGAACGGCTGGGTCAGATAAAGGTTGATCCATGAATCCGGTTTGGTGGGGCTTTCTGCGACCAATGAGTTGGAGAGTGAATTGTATCAAGACTAATGCATAATCAAATTCAACGTAAGTGGTCCAATAGGACCTGTAGCTTGATACGGAGCCACACCAGTGGTAGCTTACAGCTATGTAGTCGAACTGAGATAGTGTACAAGTTGAATTGGAGAGCCACGTTGCTGTCCGGTGAGAGCTGCGTCGGAAGTTGGTACTGGATAGGAACAGATGTTGATCGGCGCAGAACTGAAGAAGACAATCGCCGTTATTTGTTCACTGACAGGGCAGAACACAGCGACCGCCTGGGCAAGCTTCTGACGCGCTCAGTTTTCCAACTTGTGCGTTGAAATCACCTGCGAGAACAACTATATCGGAGCTTAGACTCAACCGAATGAGTGCGGCGAGTTTGTCATCGAACTCATCTTTTTGTGAATCAGACTGCAGTTGGTCGAGGCATACGCTGAAACGATGAACAAACACCTTTTGGTGTTGCTTCCCTTTCGAAACCTGATAAACCCTTGGCGGCACATTGCACATGGGCCACTGTTGACGGGGATCCAATTGATTAATGATGCTTCTGCTATATCACTGAGTCAAAACCTTTACTCCCAAGCAACATAACAGATGACCACTAAGATCCATTGAAAAATTATCTAACTGCCAAAGAGTGAGCCTCACGCAAGACCTCGGTGTCTGTGAATTCTCATTAACCAGAACAACAACGCGTCTAAACATGCTAATAAGTTACTTTCAGTGTAAAATAATATAAACGGCCAACTTGAAAGTGAACATTAGAGCACGGTCGGTTGAAATTACACGACCCAGGTTGCAATCCCAAAACGGCTGGATTCGTTTTTCATCACGGTTTGTGTACACCTAAATCCGCAGGCTCCTGTCTGTGATTCGTGTTTTGTGATATATGTCGAAAACAGTTTTAAACAATAGAACAAACACGTCAGGAACTTATATAGCGCAACACAAGGTAGTTGGAGGTCAATTTCCATACCGATAAAACCGATTAACTCACCTGATTGAGCGAATGGCGAACTTCCCAAACCTAAACCAAACGATGGATTCAAACCCGCGGATGTGGTTTGTCCGAGCAAACTGGGTGCTTGTGGACCAAGCGGATTGGGTTGCGAACTCAAACCGACAGGACCAGCCTGGTTTGTCAAGGCGGGTAATAATGGTGTGGTTGAATTCGTTATTGCAGAGAACGGAGTTGGACCGTAAGGGGTTTTGACCCCACTGGTTCGCTTCAAACTCAAGAGAGTGAAGTCTAGATTATTGTCCAGTTGCCGCAATTTTGCACTGGCTGCTTCTACCTCAGAGAACGGATTTCGCGAATCACCACTAGTCGTACGAAAACTGCGGAGATAGCGAGTTTTTAGACCCTATTAGAAAAACGGTAAAGACAAAATGATTTGAATAAATGGAAAAGGAACACCACGTAAAAGAGCAAAACCTGTAAGACACTGGATAAGAGACAGCGAAATAATACAAAAAATCAGTCCATCGATTCACATTCGCTGACCATCAAGGCAGTACTTTGGGGCTCTGGTAAGAAAAAAGAGAGAAGAGGCAAAGTTATTACCAGGAAACAGATCACTGAAAATAAGTCAGGGAGTGGGCACACGCATAAATGCTGGTAAATTTTAATATTTATTCTCTAATCATTATCATCATCGAACAGCGAGATGCGATGATGATGAGTAGAGAACAAATATGAAAATTTGTTCTCAAATCTATTAAGATGGTTAGTGTGAAAGCTGAAACCAGCAGTGTACACACATGTAAAAGTTACCACAGCGCACCATAAAGTATGACTACCATCGAGACCGATTGAAATCATAAAAAGGAAACGGTACCCTAAAATGATGTTGCAGCCTGTAGCCCCAATTTACCCCTCCCTCGATTCTACCAGCTGAACAGAATATATGAAAGTATATATATGACAGTTTTGTAAACAACGGTGTTGATTGTTGTTTTTGTAGCTCGGGCATTATAACTTGATGTGATGATATGATCTACCGCATCAACTGTAAGGACTGCAACAAGTACTATATCGGTCAAACAGGGAGAAAACTAGCAACTCGCGTGCACGAACACAAACCGGCCGTCAGAAGACACGATGTGCTCTCACTCATTTCAATCCATGAGGACCGAGAAGGACACAACTTCGATTTTGAAACATCAAAGTCGTCAACCAGGCCCGCAAGAGAGTTTTTGGAAGCTTGGCATTCATCGGAAAACTCAGTCAACCGACACATTGACATCGATCAAGTCTACACCCCCATGCAATAAACGGACCAATGAACGTAAAGGTGGGTCATGTCACACGTGATAACAGGACAACAGTAACGCTTAGACTGATCGATCAACGGCAATCCATCAGACTGCTCGCGTCCACCTCATCCCCTATCGGCACAAGGCAAACAAACCTTGGCCAATCAGGCAACGCCATATCTCTACATTACTCAACGACCTATATAAGGAAAAGGACACTCGTAAGTGCTCATCCAGTTACTGCATTGAGAATNATATATATATATATATATATATATATATATATATATATATATATATAAGTGAGTTTGGAAGAGCAGAAACCGAAATAGTAACGATAAAAAAGAGATAACAAAGTAACTGCCTGGCGGTGAGAAAACAGGTCGAAGGTTAAAGACAGTTCGCGAATCAGCCGGATGGCCTTACGCTGAACACGATCAAGGAGAGAAAAAGCAGAATACGAAGCTCCACCCTACACGTGACTGCAGTATTCGAGCATCGGGCGGATTTGAGCTTTGTTTAAAAGGAGAAGATGCTTGGATGTAAAGAAACACTTTGCGCGGAATAGAAAACCGACTTGGCGCGCAGCGCGAGAGGCAAATGTAGAAATAAAAGAGGACTAACAGAGAAGAATTTATGGATAAATTCAGGAGGGAGAGAGAATTTGTGCTACTAAACGCTGGGAGCTTTCTCTGTGAGAGGGTGGGGATGACTAAATGATGCACGGCTGAATGACTGTGCAGATGAACAGATTAAGTATGCTAGAACTGATGTGAATAAGCCGTAATCAGTAAATCTAAGAATTGTTCTCATTTTCCTAATGTGTTACCTCAGTTGGATGGCCACTGTGGGTAAGAAACTTGGACATTTTATTTAATAAGTACATATGCTGGATTTTTTTTAAAACTGGCCGTACCTTGACTTTTTCATATGCTGTATGAAGCTGAGCAGCAAGGCAAATAAATTCGTTGTCCATCTGACGCAACAATCCAACAAGATCTAAAATGGTAATTTTCATGGGCCGTAGCCGGAAACGGCTTACCCTTAGGTGATAGACAGCAGCGGTTTTGAGAACTAATGATCTCTTCGATCACTTCCAATTCCTGTTTGTAAGAACGCATTCGGGTATCAAACTCCACCAATTTGTTCAAGAAATATCTGTAAAGATATGTCACACATGTGACATGGAGGAAAAGACCTACTCAATTGTAGCGTTGTTCTCGTATTGTACAACCGGCCCACAATCCGCGTTGCGCTGCACAATACCCATATTAGTTTCTTCCTACAGAATTTAACGGTAAGAAGAAGAAAACATGACAACCTTTCTGACATCCTCTTTCAGACGTTCACGCTGAGCGGCAATTCGACGCAACCCGGCAGTGACCGCAGACACTTGTTGCATCATACAGGACAATTCATCTTTCAGTTTTACCAAAGGCTGTTGGGAAAGATTTACCAACTCCTCTCGGAGCTTCTTCTGCTCAGCCAAGAATGTCCTAGACAAATAAATTTAATCAAAAAGGTAGATTCACTTGAAGTTATCCACTGTGGCAACCAGTTCAGGACACAGAGGCTGATCTTTAGGTTGTTGACTTTGACTTGAAAGAAAAATCCGATAGAAAAAGAAGGACAAACCTTTGTTTTGCTAACGCACTACTGCCTAGAAGTCCGAATGCACTCATGCTACGGAAATGCTCTAGAACAAAAAAATAAAAAGCAAATTCAAAAACGTCGAAACGTTAAGTGTGATTTTCTATTATATCCATTGTGTTAGTTATGAATCAGAAATTTACAGTCAACTGGTGCCATATATCGTCACCTCGATTACTCATCTCAAATATCGGTAATTCGCTAGTAAAGAACATTAGCAATGTATTAGCTCACTTAACGAACTCAAGCGCGTTCCGATCGGGGATTGTTTTGCCAAGGAGTGCCATACCACCAATAGGCAGTGGACGACCGAAGAAACGATAGATTACATCAGTTGATTTTAAGCCACCCCAATTCGTAATTGTCAATTTGTGAGCTAGTGACCGGTTAAAGGTGAAGTTCGATTGTCTGGATGTGCCTTTGTGCAGTAGTTCAGGGAGGAATACTAGCAGCACAACCAGTCGGACAGAAGGATCACTCTGGTGATCAACCGTGGATGTTTTGTTATGTAGAGTGAACTACAAAATAAGGAATGAGCCCCAACGGTCATAATTCCCCATAAGAGAATGGGTAAC